GAAATGAATGGAGCACACACGAGCACAGTCGAGCCGAGCGTTCAAAACGAGCATTCGATGCGCCTCACCAGTTGTGGTGTAATGTAACATGCTCGCCGCGAATGTTACATTACGAGTAAATGTTACAAGTCAGTCGCCACCTATATGCGGCCGTGCGCGCGCGCGAGAGAGAGTGCAAAGACAGAGTGAAAACAGAAGGGAAGGGCATATATAATACTGTACTTGTTAATTATTATTGTAGGACTAGCCCTAATTATCGCCCGTTGAAGTTGACGGGAATTAAACTTTTTTGAGTTTAACAGTAGCACAGCTACATCTTTGCAGTTTATCTTCGTGAAGTGCGACCAGAGTCACAGACCCTGTCATAAAAAACACAAAGACTGGTATAAAAATATTTTTGTTAAAAATACAAACATGGAGAGGCATTCTGAATCCCAAGTCAGTACTATGTAAGGAAGCAAGATCCCCCTAAACCCACAGACATTCTTAAAAAGCTGAGAGCCACTCAGGTCGTCGATAATTCCACTCCAATGGTTCTTACCATGAGCCAATTAACCAGTCTCACGCCCCACTTCTGAGATCCGCTTAATAATATTCCCACTCAACAAGATTTTCGCGGCAGCGGCTTTCTGTGCAACAAAAACAGAAAGACAGTTTCACTGTTCTAACATTTTGGTGAATATCATTATAACACATTAGGGTAGTCGACCTCCGTCAAACGAGATGCACTTCCGTCCCGCCTACGATCGATACTGATGCGTGTCGGCCGACTACCCCGCTTAACGGACAGCGGGACACACCACTGCGGAACTCTAGAGCGCTTTTACTCGGCAAGGAAAAGTTTATGTACACAGTACTCCAGTTACCTGGTCCTCACGGCCGCACAATTCAACAATGTCGTTGCTGCGCAAATACATTAACGAAATATTTGTATCAGAATAAACTACAGCTGAGTTCTGTATTAACAGAGACAATGTCTTTTAGGAGGATTATTACACATTTTCTGTTCCTTATAAAAACATTTGTGTTAACATTTATTTTCTTCTGGACTTCTGCAATCATACACACGATGCAGATTTTTAAAAAGTACTGTTCTGTAAAAGGTGGCAATTCGTGGAAGAACTTACTGTCACCCTCAAGATGAAGGAATACGTTCCTCTGAAACGTCGGCCAATTTGTACCAAAAGACACGGTTCTACTGAAACCCAGAAAACAGCCATCTTCAAAGATAAAAAATGTTGGGATGATGAAGCTTCTGCGTGAACAATCTTTAATGACGGGATGACCGGCTGAAACACATGAGTGAAGTCCGTATATAAAAAGAGTGAACGTTCCGCACCATCGACGCCCGTTGCCAACTTTGAAACACTACAAAATCACAATGGAGCCGTTTCGTTGCTTTTCTTGGTTCCAGCTCTCAGAAGTGGGCCTCAGACCACTCTGAGAACAGTCAATCTAGAACGTTACTGCTTAAACTTCCTAATTTTAAAATTCTGAGTCAGTTCCGGGCAGTCCTATGCTTTCCCTTACTCGGCACGGACACAATGAATGCCCCTGAACTGGCATGTCGCAACAGCTGCACTTCCTGGTGACTATGACGTCATGGACCACCGACGTGTAGGGTCCAAATATATTAAATATCCTTGCAGCCAGTCACATTCCGAGCGCTCATTCGCACTGATAATTCCAAAATAAACGTTGGTGAAAAGAGCAGGTTTCTGGGGTACCTCGAAATACAGGCCGGTTAATGTAATAACCAATCTTTCTCCAACTGCTGGTCGGAATAACAGAAAATAGATTTAAACAAAATTATAAACTGCAACTTCATATATAAGAGCATGATTAAGCTTAGCAAAGTCAACAAAATCTTCATTGGACACGATCCTGAGCCAATTCCACCGCCTCCCATCCACACAGCTTCTTTGCCCATTATAAGTTTTAACGTTAACATCTGATTTTCTCGGTCTTCCAATTGGCAGCTTTACAGGAGATTTCTCCATCAAAATTCTGTACGCATTTTGTCTCATTCGAATTACGTAAGACCGCTTCCAATCAGGATGACGATAAGATGCAGACCTAACATGCGGCCTGCATTATACCGCTTATGTTCAAAATCTGCCGTAAGAGAATCTTTTTAAAAAGTCGAATAAGCCACACAAGGTTCTGCCCACGTATTCTGTACGCCGTGCCGCTCAGCCCAATTCACCAACGACTGGACGTCCTTGTGATATTTATTAGCATGGATATTATTCAACACGAATTACGTCATTCTGATGTAGCAAATACTGTATGTGGAGTAATGACGTCACTTCGCCTCAAAGAGGGAGCAACATCCTAATTACTAGACATTTAGGAAAGTTAGCAGCCGCCTGTAAACGCTACAGAAAGGCAAGATATAAAATGAAGTTAAAAGAACTAATTGAAGCGAACAAGAAAGGTTCGCGATTAAGTAAGCGGTTTAACCTCAATGTTTACAAACGATGCCACTGTAAAATCCAGTTGAAACACTACAGGCCCCACCTATGTGAAACATTCCATGGACAACCACAATTTGGCAGCTTCGCGTGCCATATATTCGGAATATTAGTTCAGAAAACGATTCAATACTGAATACTGGATCCTGGTATGTTCAACTGCCAGGAATTTTGTATTTTAATACACAAATAGTTGGTTCCTGTACTCAGAATATTCTCCGATGTCCGGCAAAATACGTTTTAATTCCTGCTACCAGAGGGCGAAAAGCTTAACCCGAAGAGAATTAAAATCCTCCCGGGGGATCAACAGCGTCAAAGTTGAGTTAAAAGTCAACGTCAACAAATTCAGAATATTTATTCGGGGACGTCCGAAAAAATAAGTTTTAATTAATGTAACCAGAGACGCAGAAAGCGTACTCCGTGATTAAAACTAAAATCCTCAAAGTTGAGTTAAAAACCAAAGTTTCAGAGACCTGCTGTCTCCATCTACCGAGTCGATCTATGCAACAGGTCTCCGAAACGTTACTTTAACTGGACCACTGCGAGCTTGCAACAAGTTTAGAGCATTTATTGCCCGTGAAAGCTTCAAAGTTAGGCCAAATCCCTTATGTTGATTTCGAGACTTTACTTATAAATTAAATAGAAACGTTTATTACACCTTTAAAAATTCGGATACACATTCAATTAGCGTAAGTATGGAAAAAGCCTAAAACTTCAACAGCAAAAAAAAAATTTACCGCCACTGAAAACCCGTGTATATAACGTGGTGTGTTTTAAGATATTATGTTGCCAGAAGAATCCACGTGAAATATGAACCTAACCCCGACCCACAAGAATAAAAGTCTACAGCGACGAAACCGGTCCCGCCCAAATCACCCCACACTGGTGCTCCAATGGGAGACCCTGCCCAACTTATCTCGGGCACGATCAACATCGAGTCATCAGGGTAAATACTAGATAAAGATATGAACAGCAACAAGTTACAGCCCGTGCTCTCTTGCTTGGAGTCATACGAAAATAAAGACTTCACCCTCGTGGTTACGCAAATACCCTGTTCAGACTAATATTTTAGGCGAAGATGACGACAAAGCCTATTACGACGAGGAATCTGACCACGCGCAGACACAAGGAGAACTGACTTTTTTTTGCGTGTTCTTTGAAAATCATATACTGAAAGCCCCGAGTCTCATTTGCCTGTCCGTTTCTCCGTCAGCAACTTTCAACACCAAAACCACTTTACGAATTTGGGTCCAATATGGCAAAACGTCGTCCGGATACATTTCGTGCCTTCAATACATCAACCAAAATCTTCACACAGCCGCGTCACGTAACAGACGGCAAGCCCACAGTGAAATCATACCTGCTTCCTAATTGCATCACATCATTGCCAGATGCTCTCTTGATGTCATGTCACGTGGGCATGACGTCACTAGTCATACGTGCGCAAGGAATGACCTCCGACCTCGTAACACTTTTCAACAGCAAAGAAACCTGGTCATTTGAAACTTTCAGGAGCAACAAATCAACGGTTTGATCACATCGCTCATTTCCATTTCCCAAGGGACGATGCAGTAACACCAAATATCCAACGAAAGCTCAAGACTTGTCTCAGTCTTACACACCAATTCACGAAATCTGACTTAATTTCATATTTGCCCACGAACACGCCGGCAATTCGTGTGGCAGGTGTGGACAGGTGAGCACAGAGTTCCAACCGCCGTTAAGTCTGTCCGTATACTTTTACTCGGTGAAGGAACTACGGGCAATT